ACTGATCACATTCTCACACCTTTTAAAGTTAATTTAAATTCACAGTGCCACACAGTGTGAATGCATTCAAACATATGGAAGTACTCATTAGCGCTGTATGTGGATCAGAATTTACTGCATCCAATCCACAATCCATGCACAAACGCTACTGTCACTTGATTTTTTAAATTACGGACATCTTTTGTGTGGTCTAAGTTGGCAGCTTTGTGATAGCAGATGGCCTGCTTTTGACACCTTGTGAATAACAATAATTATGATACAGCTACTGGAAACATCAGAAATAATGCAAGAACTATTAGGGAGCAGTCAACAACATGTGTATAATAATATGGCATAAAAGATGAACTATGAGTCAAGATCAAGTATGTGAACCCTGTTGTTTCCAAAGTCACAGACATACAGCTAAGTGATACCATATGGACCAATCAACTCCCCAATCCCTTGACCAACACAGGCCATGATTACCATACTTAACGTTCCACTAGTGTCCATAACTTGGACTCTTTTATTACCAAACCCACCCATACCACACTTTTATTACCAAATTCAGCAACATACATATTCCCAGCATAAAACAAATTTAACGTCGAACGGATCCTCAAATTCACCTTCACCTTTCCCCCTTGATCCAATGGAATAAACAAAATTTAAGTCAAGATCAATGAATGCAATGCTTGTTGCGATCAGATACATAGACAAGATTATCGTGAGCAACTAAACCACGTGGATTTTCTAAATTCCTTTTTACATTTTGTTTACTGATCAGGTCGCCACCAAAGCTAAATTTCAGCAACTAGTAATACTTGCAACAAAAATATTGTTTTTATGAACTGCGATCCCCCGAAGGTTATTTCATCATTAAAAAGCACTAAAGTGCAAAACCCTCAGCGGTGTGGGTCTGGCTATGTCTAAGTGCTAGTCTAGCAATATAATTTTGTCACAATCATAGTGTGTGACTTTAGGCCAATGAACAGCTTTATAAAGCAGGCCTGAAATGAGAATAAACAGTGAACATGTCCTTAAGCCTAGAAACATAAAAGTCGAAGAACGACAGAAACAACAGTCATCTCATCAAGTCACAGTACACAACGTCACTCGGAAATCAGACATATCTATATAATATACAGAAATTTGGTTCCAGGACTGAGAATATCACCATCACGAATGAATGACTCAAGTATCAGAAATATCCTGAAAAGTCGGAGATTAAGAGATATATAAATACTGACAAAGTCGAGCTAGAGACATGGGAACAAGGGCATGATGTAGCTAATGCTGTTGACGTCGTGCGCAGCGTGCTCGAAAGGCTGAAGGAAAAAGAGGAAAGGCTGATAAGGAAAAAGGCTCTGTACAACCCTGTGCATCGGAGGCTAGTGTTCATCGCGCTAACCCCAGACATTGGCTAAGCAGTTGGCATCTATCTATTGAGTAGGTCTTGGTGTAGCTTCTACGGGGCAACGACGAAGAGAAGCCGACCCTGAGCCTCGTGTCCTACGCATGACTCGCTGCATACGCATGCAGAGTGCATCTACTTCTCTCTCTTTCTTAGTGACTACTCTTCAGTAGGTAGATATGCGTCAAATTGATCGCTCTTTAGTTGGAGTTGGCCGAAAGACTCGAAACAGTCGTCTGTATAAAAACATCCCAGTACGGCAATACACCAAGTCACAAACCTTTCATCTCAGACTCGGTACGACGAAGAAGGACAGACAGAAGAAAAACAGAAAGATATTATGTATCAATACCAGAGAAGACTCTGAGGCGGCCGAACAATAGAGAGTTCTGCAGTGCTGTGTCGCCCCCCTGTGCATGGTGGTGGTTTACATGCCCTGACCACCTGTCTCCAAGTGCACATGCATGAAATGAATGTTTGTCCCTTAAGACCAGTGTGAGTCCCATGCAGAGTGCCATGCAATCATGATTCCACTCGCGCACTCTCACGCCTATCTGGTCTACGACGGCACTGAACTGATCACATCTCACACCTTTAAAGCTAATTTATATCGACTGTGCCACACAGTGTGAATGCATTCAACATAATAATGGAAGTGTACCCATCAGCTCTGTCATGTGGATTAGAATTTACTAGCATCCAATCACATCCAGCTGCACTGCACCAAATCACGTGCTGCGTCGCCTGCATTTTTATAACACATTGAATTAAGGACATCTTTGTGTGGTCTAGCTGGCAGCCTTGTGATAGCAGATGGTCTACTTTGACACTTGTGAATAACAATAATTATTATACAGCTCTACTGGAACATCAGAATAATACAAGAATATTGGGGAACAGTCAACAGCATCAGTATATATGGCACACAAGATGAACTATGAGTCCAGATCAAATATGTGAACCCTGGTGTTTTCCAGAGTCACAGACATATAGCTTGTCATCATGAGATGGTGAGCTGGTGATACTCATATGGATTTCCAACACCACTTCCCAATCGTGACCAACAGAAGCACTGACTTACCATAGCTGCAGACTGTCAGATCGGGTTTATCGTAAGCGAACATTTGACAATCATTTGCGAATTACTGAAATATATACTTATTTTCATACACGATGCAAGACTCCGTTGCGTTCTTAAGACGCAACAGTCTTTTCCCTGATCTATTATATGTTCCCTAGTCCTACTTGGAGTCTGTAATTTTAATTTTCCATATACAATCGGTGATTAAACAGCATATTTTAATCAATACTTTTTAAATCTAGCTACCGAGTCCAACATACATATTCCCATCCCCGGCAGAATCAAATTTAAACGTCGAATGGCTCCTCAAATCACCTTCACCTTCTTGATCCAATCGATTTAAACAAAAGATTTAGATACAAGAAAATACTGAAGGCCAATGCTTGTTACGAATATGCAGGATACATAGAGAAGATTATCTGGTGAACAGCTACCACGTACTGGGGTTTCAAATCCTGAGTCCAGAATCCGCTTACAGTGTGCTTACTGATCAGCCTCGTCACCACCAAATGCTAAACTTCAGCAACCAGTCACACTCGCACAAAATGTGTTATGTTATTGTTATATGAACTGCGATCCCCGATAGGATATTTCATCAGTTCGGATTTAATATATTTTGAACTTTCTCTTGTTTTTATCACAAATACACATACTCTGTGGATGCTTGCCCCATTCACTGACACCATCTCTCCCGATGCGGTAAATGCACCCATAGGTCTATCCAAGGTGACGATAGATACTCTCCTGACTGTAAAAAAACATGCGTTAACATACTATGATTATACAAAACACATTGCCAATGCGATAATGAAATATAAAAGCAGTTAGTTCAGATTTTTTTGCGAACTAATAACGATAACACAACATTTCTGCATGTGTAGTGCCCATCACGTACTCCCGTATTCAGACCAGCTGCTTCACTCGCCATATAACTTTGTAGAATGATACCTGTGTGCGATGCCATGCGCAGGACAGGTGGATTCCAGAATCTTTCTCCTGAAATGAATCTGATGTAGAGTCATAGACAAAGCAGTGGAAAATTTCATACTTTACTTTTATTCTAAGTTCTTGTTCTGCAGATTAGACCCCTTTCTGCTGTATTAAGGCAATTTCCTGTCAGGGCATATGATAGTAAATAACGAAATTCGTTGTTTATTAGCGATTTTACTTACCATCTTTCTGACTTCCCTCTGAGCCTCAGTTAGTTTAGTCTGCAACTCGGTCCCCTATATTATGACATCACACTGGCATATTTGTGTATGGGCATTGGATACAACTCACCTGACTCAGGCCCTGACCATCCTGCGGTATTTTATTCTCCTTGATAATAATAATATGCTAGTAAAATACACGTGTGCTGTGGATGCACACACATGCACCAAAGGTGCTGCACGTGACATTGACTCACCTTGATTCTTCTGCTTCTTTTCAATATCCTTTTCCTGTAATTCATTCAGATTCCTGGTCACAGTGAAGGGCATTTAAACTAGTTCAGTACCTGATTGCTCACTATGCACGGGTGTGAGTCTAAATCTCGCAGCTCTCCCTGCCACTCACACCCACTCTCCTCATAGCGACAGAAGACACGCAATGAGTTTACTTGACGGCGGAAGTGTCTGTTCAACACTGTGCTCCAGCCAGCAGTATTACATTGCGGACATGGCTCTCCATCTCCCTGTTTTTGGTGGTAGTCAGCCTCCTGTGAGAGATGTGTTTACCGCAACATGATGTTAGGTGAGGCTGGAGCAGTAGACCAAATGTCACGGACAGAAGAACATATCAGGTGGCTGCAGCAACAAATGGGTAATCTTCTCCTTTTAGTTGACAGGCCGCCTGTAACAAAAAATGAAGTCTACATATCAATAGTCTCTGAATGACTGAGTCACATACCCTGTATCAGCTATTTCATTTGCTGCAACACTGCTGAGTGATGGAATGAGCGAGACCTTCTGTTGGTGGAAATGTTATATATTACCAGAGCCTTAATTTACAGCCAGTCACACTCACCTCCTTACGTAATTGATACACACAGGTTCCAGCAATAGCTAATTTAGTGGCAGAAAATTTCTTGAGAATAACTCTGGGCACTTTTGCTGATAACTTTTTAACGACTGATTCTGGTATGAACCATGTAATAATAAAAGAGCCAGAACGAACATGGGCGAGCATCATGGCACATTCATGCAGATTGTAGCGAGAGGCATATATTTTTCGAAACACTTCCACATCTTGCAGTGTTGCATTCTCTGGCCAGCCAAAAAACTCGATAACTAAACTTCGAAAATGTGGTGGCGGGTCAACGTGCCTTCTCGTGTGTGCCTGAGCGAACAATGCTAATGGGGTTGCTTGCCTAAACTGCCTTAATTCTGATTTATAGCTTTCCATCTCTACTCTTACTTCTTCCAGATCAAACTTTTGCGCAAGATTCTCCATTACCGGAGTGTTGAGATAGTCCCAGTGGAAATTCATAAATCCAAACAATTCATAATGCGTGCCAGATCGAAATAAAACACTGACATGGCTCTCTAGAAACAACCTTTGTTGTTCTTCACGATCAGGTGAAAGTGTTGTTAGAGCATCTGCAACCCTTTCAACAGGAATTCTACGCATTTCAAGGCACTGTCTGATATGGTTCTTAAGAACATCAAACTTATTTCTCAAACTTGCAATATTTTGCTGCATACTTTGAATTGATCGCATGGCAAAAACTCCATGGTCATTTCCCACAGCTGCAATGGGATGACATAATGTCTCAGACAAGCTATTACAGAATGCAAACTTACCACACAGGGGCTGCGGAACAACAACATGATTATTTACAACCACAACTGGTTGAACAATATACTCTTCCAATCTCCTTGCTAGCCCAGGAAAGTTAACTAAACGGCTCCTAAGAGCATCTATAATAAGCCTCCATCTTGGATTTGCTTGCCTCAGGAACTGGATAACAATCTGCAGGAGGCGATCACGTGGCTCTGGGTACCTCATGTGAATTGCTTCAACTTCAGTTGGTTGCAATGTTAACGTTATTCCAAGACACATTGTGTTAGTCTGAACAGGCAGCAACCATTCAGCTATCTCTGCAGCACGATCTTCTGTTAGAGGTTCATCCATGGCAGGAGCTGTGTCAGATGTAAATAACAAAATAATCTCCTATGGTTAATACCAACTTACCTTCAGCCATTTAGATGTATATTCTGGGCTAGCAAACTACTGCCAGAAACAGCGTGATACCTGACTATATAGTTTGAATGTGAACGCATTCACCACTGCCACGTACGTCCACGCGCACGCGCTATTTTAATGGGTGGGGCCACGCGCGGATGGTCGTTTCTGAGCGTGTAATATTCGGTGCGTGTGCATGCGTTTCGCAACTGCTCGTTGGTGACTTGCAGCCTCGGAGTATGTGAAACGGCAGCGGTAAAAACATACCGTTTTCCCATTACTCGTGATCTCCTGCTAGTAGCTCGCGGAGAGTCTGATGCGGGCAAGCTACAGTAGGAGATAACATGCGGGAGTCGATACACGTTGTTTGTTGTCTACACATGCACAGGGGGGTGACAAGCACGCAGAACTCTCTATTTCACCTTCTCCTCTGCCTGTGTTGCTCTGTCTGTCTGTTCTTTCAAATGCCATCTCGGTTCTCCCTATACTTCAGTGATGGTCTCGAAATTGGAGTACCTCATCAATGATTCAGGTTCTAACAGATTGTCCTCTACATCCATGCTAATATCTGGCTGCCATATGGGATTGCTTTTAACGAATCGGGAGAGAGTGTTGTCAGTGAATGGGGCATCCACAGAGTATGTGTTTTGGATAAAAATTAAACCAGAAATGATGAAATATCCTTCGGGGATTGCAGTTCATAAAAACTATATTTTTGTTGCAAGTAAGTAGCTACTGGTTGCTGAAAATGTTTGGTGGCGACTCGATCAGTAAACAAAATGTAAAAAGGAATTTGGAAAATCCACATGGTTTAGTTACTCACGATAATCCTATCTATGTATCTGATCACAACAAGCATTGCATTCAAGTATTAGATCTTGACTTAAATTTTGTTAAACCCATTGGTTCAAGGGGGAAAGGTGAAGATGAATTTGAGGATCCATTCGACGTTAAATTTGATTCTGCCAATTTGGTAATAAAAGAGTGCAAGTGGAACGTTAAGTGAGTTTAGATGTGGTAATCATGGTTTGTGTTGGTGAAGGGATTGGGGAGTTTATTGGTCCATACAGTATCACCTAGCTGTATGTCTGTGACTATGGAAACAACAGGGTTCACATATTTGATCTTGACTCATAGTTCACCTTTTATGCCATATTATACACATGCTGTTGACTGCTCTATTATTTCTGATGTTTCCGTATCATAATTATTGTTATTCACAAGGTGTCAATATTAGACCATCTGCTATCACAAAGCTGCCAGCTTAGACCACACAAAAGATGTCCGTAATTTAAAAAATCAGGCGACAGAAGCGTTTGTGCACGGATTGTGGATTGGATGCAGTAAATTCTGATCCACATACAGAGCTGATGGGTACTTCCATATGTTTGAGTGCATTCACACTGTGTGGCACAGTGAGTAATTAGGTGTGAGAATGTGATCAGTTGCAGTCGCAGACCAGGAATGAGTGAGACAGAGTGGAATCATGATTTTCATGGCACTGCCACTGGTCATGGGACAAACTTTCATGCATGTGCACTTGGGGGCATGTGTCAGCGCGTTTTAATATACATGCACAGAGGGGTGACAAGCACGCAGAACTCTCTATTGTTAGGCCTCAGAGTCTTCACTGGTATTTAACATATTTTTCTGTCCTTCTTCGTCGGTCTCAATGAAGAGTTTGGGCTGCCGGAATTATTCCTAAAGAGGGCTATGTTCCATGGTTGGGTATAAAACGATGCGGCATAGTTCTCCGACTAACAAACTAAAAGCTACAATTTGCCCATCTACCTACTGAGGAGAGTCACTACGAAAGAGAGAGAGAAGATGCGTCTGGCTCTTCTTGCATTGGGCAACTCTGCTGATGGCCTCCTGCTCGCCAGCATAAGTGATGGAAAAGAAGCATATTATTGGCAATTATAGCAACATTTTAATTTTCCCAATACATGTTTATTCAGAAGGGATAGAGGAATCGGTAAACTTGAGTACCACCGATATCGTACCACCATTTTTCACTGCAGTAGTCTTGCTGTAGGGGGCTCAAGATTTCTCGCACTTACCATACTATCTGACCTCACCCCCAAATTGTTCAGGCTTCTGTGCCTGAGTGGAGTAAAATTTAGTGCATTTTTGGCAATCCAGGGAGGGCAAGTTCATTTTTTTCTCCTCTCTTCCATCCAGAATGTTTTGGGGAGGGTTCCTTGTGCAACTGCACACAGACTGCTCATGTGATGGTTATTGCCACAGTTAACACTCTCTCATTTAAATAAGAAACCCATATCATAATGTATGGGGAATGGCGAAATTTCCTGAATGTGCAGGAATTTCAAGCAAAACGTAAGAATTTCCTGCACAACTTGCTCATGTGCAGGAAGAATTATGAAGAAGCTTTATTCCTGCACATGTCAAAAATATCCGGATTTTGCAGGAATATTTCCTACACTTTATCATTTCACTTTTTGAAATCCTTCCTATATTATAGCTACACATTTCACAATTCTTCCTACACATTTTAAAATTATTCCTGCACTTTTCTGAATGTGCAGGTAGCATGCTTCCAGCACATTTGCATGTGCAAGAGGATTTTCGGTAAAGTGACATGGGTTTCTTCAGTTTATACCCTCACTTGAAAAACAAGTTTTCTTATTTAAATGAGAGAGTGTTCCGACTGGTGTTATCATGGGTATTGCCTTTGAACCCCGAGCCAGTTCGTGGAACAAACCTGACTAGCTGTAACTGAGCCCAGAAATACCTTTGAATTGTCATTTCCTATAATTATATAGGTTTATGCCATTATCACATTATAAGACTCATGTTGTGTTCATGTGACAATAGTTGCCTGAGCCTCCAAACAGCAATTTACAGTGGAACCTATGAACAAGGGAGACTATTGGGCCAATGATTTTGATAGCGAGGTCGTCACTATCTCGGAGGTCAAATAATACACTAAAATATTAGCATGGGCTGAAACAAGAGTCCTTTGTAGAGAGGTTGTCCCCATTTTGTTACACTGTATACTTGACAGCTACTATTAATCACTACAATCACGCATGGTTGTCATTTCTCACATCATCACAGTAGTTTTGATAATGTTTCAAGGTGCCACTGGGGTCCATGAATGATGTCATAGTTAATTGGTTGGAGGAGGGTCTGCTGAGTCAGCAGTCTCTATTGAAACATCAGTTCCTGCAGAAATTTCCTTGGCAGTGGGTGAAAAGGAGGATATTAACCCCCTGAAAAAACTCTTCCGGCGACACTAATTGATGGGCTGGGCTTTGTATCTTTACTCGTGGTATCCCGCTAGTAGCTCGCGGAGAGTCTGACACGGGCTAGGTATAGTAGTAGAGTGTCGATACACGCCCTTCGTTGTGACTTTTTGTGCCTGCAAGATACACAGAGCGAGCGGACGCGGTCGAGGTAAGCCTGCGCTAAAATTTGCATATTGGCTTGTTCACTTGCTTTTCACGCCATAACTTTAGGTTATACGAAAATCGCTTTTTTAAAATGAAGCCAGTGTAGCGACGAACCCGTTGGTATCGCTATTTAATCTCGTTGCGCGTAGTCGCAGAAAACGTGGTAACAGACCGACTGACAGACTGACTGACTGTGTCAGTCACTTACGGGACAACTACCGTAACCCTCGCTGCGCATGCGCGCCGAGGGTTAAGGAAAACATTCGAACTACAAAATCCACGACCTGACAAATCCAACAAAGGCCAAGATAAAATGAATCCTAAAGAGAAAACTTATAATGGACCTGTTGAAATTTTCATTCCACGGATGTAGAGGTACGGGAAAATCTGTGCCAACGGTGGAGGTCGCCTTAACATGGACAAGGAGGTTCTATTTCCCTTATATAACAACACTAGCCACCGTGTTTGGGATATATACCGAAGCTGTTTTTCATGGACGCTTGCCAGGAACACTTATTATTTACACTTTACAGAACATGACTAGATGAGGACAAAAGAATGGGAAAGGTTTTATGAACGGAAGGAGAACCAGACAAAATTCGGTATCCTGGTGTCCTAAAACTGAGAAGAGTGCGTGCACTATAGACATGCTAACACACTTTGGATACGGACGTTGATAGGGATATATAAGAGCATGGAGTGGGTCTTGATGGAGAGTTCGAGGGAAGAGAATTGCAGATGATTGAAGAAGAGATGGATGACCTTCTGTGCATGGTTGATTGCAACAGGATATGTTTTAGTTTGAGGTGAGATGAGGACCAAATGCTACGATCAGAAAATTGCACGAAAGAGTGGATGGAAAATTCTTAGGAGGTGTCGGGGTCCTTGAGGAAACGACCAAAAAACAGGATGTCAAAACATACTAATTGTATCATCAAAGGTAGAAAGTCGAGTGACAAGAGTCAATCCTTATATAATAGTCAGAGTTGTAGTCTTTTAGGATGTACTTGGTAGCTCGACCTCGACTACGTTCAAGTGCAGAAATATCTTAAGAAGGTTGGGTATCCAAATCTGCGAAGCATAAGTTAGCTGAGAGCGGACGAGAGAGAGATAAAGTTTCTTCTTGGATGAGAGAGGTAACCTGGATGAGAAGGAACGCCTAATGAAACTTAGAATTTATTGGCTCGGGAGGATATAAAGTTAAGGTGGTGGCACAATTTGAGATCACAGGACATTAGGATGCCGAGGTCACGATGGCAGTCAACGACTTGTATTGCCACGTTGTTAAAGGAGTAATCAAAGAGGATGCACGGTCAACTGAGGCAGAATGTGAGTAGCACACATTCCCTTTCGTTGAACTCAAGGTTCCACCAATTATATAAACAGAGGAGGGCTTCTTGAAGTAATTAATGACAAAAAGTAAATAAAAAATTCTTCCAATTAAAACAGTGTGGAGTATAAGGGATGCCATAAAAAGCAAGGAGACACGACAGGGATGACCTAGTGCCTAGTGCATGTGGTGAAGTAGTACAATGGATGGTGGTTACATCTTCAAATTGACATTCCCTGCTTATGTACATTTCCTTCCACACAAGCCCTATATTGTCGCCACTTTTCTTGGTATATAAAGGGATTCTCTGGACATCTCCTGACTCATTTCCTAGGCCAATGACACAGGTAATCCACAGCTCCTCTGTTTTGAGTTGA